AAGCCAGAAAAATGACAAATACTTTTCAGAACCAACCACGATTCCATTACGACAATAACATTCCAACAGTCACAAAACACAGTACCCGTGGGTCTAGAGAGGTGAGAGCTTTCCTTTTCAACTTATGCAGGCCTAACTCACCCTGCCTACTCTTCCTCCCCATCCCAAACCTCCCAAACCAAGGTCAATGTTTTCTCTCAGGCACACAGAGAAGGAAAGAAGAAGGGGGAGAAGCAGGAAGAGGGCTTAAAGACGGCAAAGGACAAGGACAAGGCGTGAAGAGGAGAGCAGAGGTGGGGGGGCAGAGTCGGGCGTATGCAGGAGCCACGCCCACCTGTCACAGTGCACCTGGGCCAGCACTGAGAATCCAACAGGAAGAGGGTCTGGCGCTGATCATGCCATGACTTCTCCACTGAGTATTTCAGAAGTCGGGTGTATGTCAGTGTGTTAAAATGGGGGCGTGCACACACACAGTGTTTAGCTGGGACTCATTCTTCCCTTCCCACTCTTTATTATTAGGGTGTCTGGAACTGTTAGACTCATAGGCGCAGGAAGACAACGGAGTGCCGAAAGCAGGGATGGCATACCACAGCACAGACTTGGGGTTTTCAGGGTGGAAAGGCATGTTCGTTCGGGTAGAGGATGGTGCCATCGGCACCCGTGTGGGTATGCTTAGCACTTCTTGGTGGTATGCTAAAAACAGTGATAGTGGTGACTCTGTAACTACAAATAAAAAACCCCTGAGATAGAGTTGATGCCATCAGAGTTTAGAGGACCCAATGCTACAGTGTCAGGTTACAGTATCCCCTCCTGCAAGCTCAGGGGTTCAAACACTTGGTTCCCTGCTGGCTGGGGGTGCTATTCATGAGGCTGTGGAAAGTTTTAGGCAGGGAACCTCACAGGAAGAAGTGGGACACTGGGGGGTGGGCGCCTTAAGTTTTGTAGCCCAGCCCCACTTCCTGCCAGCCCTCTGCTTCCTGAGGGTGTGACCAGCTGCCTCACACCCCTATCTCCACGTGTTTCACACCACCATCATCACCACGGTGCACTGGAGTCCTTCCTGAATCCTGAGCCAAAATAAACCCTCCATCTTTAAGCTGCCGTTGTGAGGTGCTTTATCACAGCAAGAGAAGTGACCGAGACACACAGGATCCTGGCAAATTCCCCAACTGCCAATGAGAAGAGGTCCCAGGAACGAGCAGAGGAAGTTGGAAACTGCGGGAGGAAGGCAGTGAAGGGCTTGACTCACAGATGGCTCTCCTCAGCTCTGTCTCCACATCCTCAGTAGTAAAGGGGACTGTGAGCTAACACGTGCTGGGCAACTTCTCCCGAGCCCAGCAGACAGCAGCAGACCTTACAGATCGGGAGCCTAGTAGGACACCCTCCCACAGAGGGAAAGGCCCCACCCTGAGGGAGCCTTACAGATCACACGGCAGTTCACTTCTGGTGGACAGCAGATGCTTCTGAGACTGCAAAGTGCCCCATGGTGCTTTATAATCACTTGTTAATAAAGAGGCAATTAAAGTCTTCATTCACGCTTTCCGACGGTGGTCAGCTTGAGAGTCCGCGTCCTCTAAGAGATGCCAACCTTCTCATCAGTGCGGTGGGCATTTGCACTTAGAATCACCACTCCTGCCAGGTCTGGAGCGTCCCCGCTCCCCCCAGAGGATGCGGCTTACAGCTTTACTTATTGCTGAAACCTCCTTAATTATTTCATGTGATTGGCAAATGGAATGCCAGTTCTCAGGAGGTGGAATGAGAACTTGAGGCCTGCCTAGGACACCCAGTCTCACACACACACAACAATGGTAGCTGGATAAAAGAAAGCGTGCCCTAATAACTTATCGAAATGAAGGGGCACGGCGTGTAAGCATGAATCTGTCTTAACAGTGTTTCTATAACTCTATGCTCCTGGATACATTTGTGATTCTGCAGTCTCCTGTGGCTGGAAAAAAAAAAACCTATCCAACAGGAAACTTGCTCAGTTACTGAGACAGAACAGAATTCCATTATCACGTGAAACATTACAGTGTGTTAACAGGTATTACTAATGGAGGATTGTGCGTCTACCAAGCTCTACGTTTTTTGTCTTCAAGACAGTGGTATGTATTCTGTGTAGACCAGGCTGGCCTCAAACTTGGAGATCCACCTGCCTCTGCCTCCCGAGTACTGGGATTAAAGGTGTGCACCAGCACTACCCAGACAAACCCTAGATTTAAGGCAGCAAATGGAAGGCTACATCTGAGCCAAACACATAGTTCCTGTCTATCTTAGGTCTAACTTGCCCTGGAATATTCTTATGAAAGACCCCGGCCCAGCGCAAGCAGCTGAGGCTTATGGAAAACTCCTTTCCCCCCACAGCTCAGCCATTTTTTATCAGGAGGGAGCTCAGCTCAAGGTCTTCGCAGCTGAATAGTCACTACTATCTCTGTCCAGATAGGGGCACAGGTATCTATGGTCTGCATAGCCAGCCCAGAAAGATTGGGCAGGCACAGAAACCCTTTGTTCTTCAGATAGGGCCAAGGCCGAGAATTGAGTTCTGAGAGAAACCTTAATTGCCTCTCTGTCCAGATGGGAGAAACCTTACTTGCCCTCGTTCTGAGCCCCAGCCTCATTTAAATTACCCAATCAGGGTCCCGTAACTAGGCTTCTCGCTTCTGTACTGCGCTTTTTGCTATAAAAGAACCCCTGAGTCCCCAGCTCGGGGCTCTCAGTTCCCGAGACTGAGATGCCCCGGGTACCCGTGTATTATCAATAAAGCCTCTTGCTGTTGCATCCAAGCTCGTGGCCTCGGTGTTCCTTGGGTTCGGGTCTCCCTCCCGTGAAAGTCCCCCGCCTGGGGTCTTTCACTTACAATGCCCTTTCAATCCAAGGATCTGGATCTAGAGCTGCGACAGCCAGACTGAGGGGTAGAATGGCAGGAGAGTCCCATGGTTTTGCCGTTTTGGTTATGAGGCAGACTCACAGTCACTGCAAGTTACGAAAATTCCATTTTCAGTGAAATGCTAATTTAATGTCTGCAAATCAAGGATTCTAACCTGTGAGGCAGAGCATAGAAACAAGGCATGTCTGGCCTGTTAAATAATCGTAGTACAGGCCTATCTTACTTCTATATTTCAAAAAATGAAAATATTTCAATCCCAAGTCACATTTTTTTAAAGGGTAAAAATGCAGATGCGTATGATTTGGAGTTCAGCTGTGAGATGTGCTCTCTCTGGGCCGCTGGCTAGCCTTGCTGCCTGGTCTTGAGTGGCAGACTTGCTGCTGCTCACTGAGTGCCTTCCCTCTGCCCCTCCCCCCACCGCGGTGCTGGTCTGCAGCTCTCTGCAAAGTCCCTCCTCTCATGTGGGCCTTGGGATGTTTTCTCAGGACTTGGCAAACAAGGTTCATCTGAAACCTGTGTCCTCTGAGTGACCTTCACCACCTGTGTCACACAGCAGCACACTGAGACACCCTAGCTGACATGAAAGCAACCGTCCTGGGGCTCCTGGGAAGCCCCCTTGAGCGGTGTCCACAATCACATGAGCCACATCAGGTCAGCAGAGTTCACGCAGGGGGGCAGTGCAGGTGGAAGGTGAGAGGGGGCCCCCTTCACTGTGGAGCGTTAGCGCAGGTGTCAACAACATCACTGAGGACACCCTCTCCTGCCTCAGCCCTCAGACGCTCCACAAACCACCAGGCACACGTTACTGGAAGTGCTTTGGGCACAAGCAACTATCTGCAGGGCCTCTTGAGCCACTGCTGCTGCCGTTGACAGCCTCCGGGTGTGAGTGGGGAGGAAACCCTCTTGCCAGCAATAAATTCCTTTCTCACTGAGTGCTGAATTTAAAGTCGAGGGAAGCAGAAACAGGCTGAGCCAGGTGCCCGGGATCAGAGTGCTCCAGGGCTACTTCCAAAGAAACCAGCAAATCCAGGAGGTCTCTCTGGGGGCAAGTGTCAAGTCTCAGGCAGGCACCACCTGTCACTCACAGTGAAAAGTCTTTAACTCCTCTAATCCTGAGAGATGGTCTGAACTGGCACCAGCTGGGTGGAACCAAGAACACCAGGCTCAGGTCTGGACTGTGTGAAATGTTTCGGCATTAGGCGCAGTCAGGCTCCCAGAGCAGGCAGCCCTCACTCCTCCAGTCGGCCAAACAGACCTCAGTCCCTTCAGGCAGTCTCCACTAGTTCTCATATAAACACAACCGAGTCATACGCATAAGCAAGCCCCTTAGCCACTATGTCTCCCCCGAGGTGTTTATCGCTGTGTCCACATCAGCGGTGTAGGGAAGGGTGTCTAGAGCTAGCAGAAGCGGGAGTGGCATGATCGTCACAAGCCACCAGATGGCACTTTCCTCAAACACAGCCACACACCTTCACTGCTCTCTGAAGAGCTCGTGCGCTCACTGCACCTCCTGTGAGGAACAGCTACTAGGTTCTTCATAGGAGGCCCCACCCTACTGTTACTGAGATAGCACCTGCTTCACACAAGGTTCTTTTCCCTCACAGGAACATTTGCTTTAAGACACACCGGGTCACTGCCGTGACCTAAAAGCCAGTCCATTTCCAGAGGCAACTGGGCAACTCGTTGGCACCCACACAATACAGTGTCTTCTCAGAAATCATCCTTAGAGACTGGAGAGATGGGGGTTAAGAGGTACACTACCTGTCCTTTCGGAGGATGGTTCAATTCTCAGTGCCCACCTATCCATTGTAAGACACACACACACACACACACACACACACACACACACACCCTATCTGACACCTTCTTCTGGGTTTACAGGCAACTGCATGCACTTGGCACACAGACACATATGCAGACAAAATATTCATGCCCATAAAATGAAACAGGGAAAATTTTTAAGCTGTCTTTAGAGATGAAAGGAACTTGGGTCTTACGTTCTGCCTTGCAAGCTTTCCTCTTTTTAATCTTGTTTGATCTGCTAGTCTGTGCTCTCAGCCCGGGAATAAACAAGAGAAGACGGACAGCGCAGAGAAGGAACACGCGGTAAGCTTACCATCTGACTTTGCAGCCACTCGATAAGCGTTTCCGCTGTCGAGTCTGGGATCTGGCACCTCAGCCCTTCCTTCTCGTCCGTCTCCATCATCTCCAGCAATCCACGCAGGTCTTCCACAAGGTGCAAAGCTCGCAAGCTCCCCATGAACGGAGAGGTGGGAGACTGGCAATCAAAAATCCCATTAGAATACTCCAAGGCTTTAGAACCTAGTTTCAAAAAGATAAAAATAAAAATCAGAGAGCAATGGGATTACGTTAGGTACAATACGACACCCGGGAAAAGACAGACCAGTCTAGTCACCAGCAATGATCACAAAGAACAGGGAAAGGACAATAAACAAACAAACAAGTAAATAGCTCAGTCACATAAATCTCTCCAAATATTACATAGTTGAAAACAAAAAGCAATGTCTTTGACGGTAAGTATGAACGGCGCAATGCCAAACGAGAAGGCCAGCTGCGGGGGGGACAGAAGGAAAAGGAGCATGGTAGGCTCAGGAAGAGATCAGAAGAAGGTGGACGACAGTGGTCCAGGTGGAGCCGTGCCTCCCATGAGGTCTTTGAATTCCCTGAAAAATGAGCCGTGTACTTCAGTGGTAATGTTCAGGGAGTTGCGTGTGTACGATGCACATGTGAGCACATGTGTATAAGAATTCCCTCTGCCATTCTGCTTATAGCCTTAGCACTGAATTTCTAGTTAACATTAGTTTTAAAAAACTGGTGTTCTAAGCCAAATGCGGTGGTGCGTACACCTTTAATGCCAGCACTTGGGAGGCAAGAGGCAGACAGAGCTCTGTGAGTTTGAGGCCACCCTGGTCAACACAGCAAGCTCCAGGTCAGCCAAACTACATAGCAAGACCCTGTCTCAGAAAAAAAAATCATAGTGGCCTGTGATTCCAGTATCTGGGAGGCAGGGACAAGATTACTGGGATAAGCAAGAGTGGCCAGAAATGATGAGCTCTGAGTTCAGCAAGAGTCTTTACCTCAAAGAATCAGGGAAAAGTCGGGGAAGACACCCCTCATCGACTTCAGTCCTACACACACACACACACACACACACACACACACACACACACACACACACCTACCTCAAGACATGCAAACATGAATATCACACAAACACACACACACCTACCTCAAGACATGCAAACATGAATATCACACAAACACACACATAGTCCTGATTGCAGGGTTCTGCTCCAGCACTTACAAGCACTAAGATCACCTGCTATTATGCCCATGATAACCTTCTACCCTAATATATCTTGTTACAGAACAAAGTGAGAATACACACATACACACACACAGAGTTAAAAAAAAAACCCTAAGCATTTATACTCATTTCTCCTCCTCTCCCTCCTATTTCGGTTGGGGAATCATAACTGTTAGCTGGAATAAACCCAGGTCCTACCTATCTATAAAACATCTGACTTAGTTTGGTATGGGTCCTGCATAATCTCTCTTTTTCTGTCTTTTCATTATTTTCCACAGACATCTTAGAGACATTTATGTGTGCGTGCATGTGATCACACATGTTCCCATGTGAATTTATGAGTACCATGTGCATACAGGGGGCTGTAGAGGCTACAGGAGGCCATCTGATCCCTCTAGAACTAGAATTACAGGATTTTGTAGTTTGACTGATGTGGGAGCTGGGAATGAAACCCAGATCCTGCACAAAAGCAGTGAGCGCCTTTACTACTGATCCATCTCTCCAGCCCTTAACTTTTTCCACGTTTTAATTAATTATTATCATATTTGTGTGCTGTTTTCCCATGCGTGTGCACACACGTCACCGAGTACGTACATGTGTCATCGTGCATGTATGGGGTCGGAGGACAAACTGAAATGCTGGTTCTCTCCTCCCACCATGTGTGTCCCTGGGGCTGAACTCAGATCATCAGGCTTGGTGGCAGGAACCCTTACCTACTGAGCCATCTTGCTGGCCCTTTTTTCTTAGCGACTCTAACACTGGTCCTGAAGTCTTACAGGGGTTAAGAAGCTAACACCTAATCCAGGAGAGTGTATAACGATTGCAGCCTCCAAAGGCTGCTCCAGGCGCACCGCCCCTCCAGTATTTATGAGTTATGAGGTGAGCGCCTGGGAAGAGCCTAGCGGTGCTTTCTGAAATCCTAACAGGATGAGCCCGCCCTCTTCTGGAGATGCCAAGCTGTTTGAAAGCACATATCACCCCAAAACAAGAGAACACTCTTCTATATTAAAAGTCTACCGGCATTTTTGTTAGGTTTGGTTATGGAACACTCCACTGTCAAGTCCATCCCTCCACAGAGGTCCTAAGAGCATTGGAGAGGGAGCCACTAAATTAAAACAAGAGCAGAGAGGGAACAGGAGACGGTGAGGGAGGGCGGGCCACGTGCTGCGGGTTACCTGCTATGATCCCGTCCATCTGCTCCAGCGCCGCCGCCAACATGTCACTAGCATCACTCATCATCTTCCTGTATTGTCAGGGGCAAATTCCAGCGTTAATCTGGGAAGGAACAGAAGACCACGGTGTTATCACTGCATGACGCACGCTGGCCCATGGGCTCACTAATTCTACTTCAGATTACGACTCCACTTAGCAATCGGAGAACGTCAGAAGCAGTGTGGGGCTGAACTGACTGGGTCCCTTAATCACCTGCTGTGGGGTAACAAGCACACCAGCACCCGTGTCGCTCCACCAGTTAATAAGAGAAAATTTAGATCTTGTTCAAAGTCCAGCAAACAGGTGGGGTCAAAGCCTGGTGACAAAGTATTTGCCTAATGTGCAAGGCTTTGGGTTCAGTCCCCCAAACTGCAAAACATAAAGTCTGGTAGGATGGTATCCACGCCACTCTTCATAGCTCTAGGTCCCTGTGAAGGACACAGGGGTACTACGGAAGCCTGCTGAGGACCAGGAGGGTGCAGACAGACTGACGGACACAGGGGTATCATGGAAGCCTGCTGAGGGCCAGGAGGGTGCAGATGAACGTTTTTATTCTGTATCTCATCTAATCACTGTTCTCTTCATTTTCCCTTTGTTCAGTTCATCCATCAGTTTACCATAAGGTTTATAGAAGGAAAGGGCTCACTAACAAACAGACGATCGTCTCCTGCTATCCACAGTATTTGCACAAAGCACTTTGAAGTATCGCAAGATTACTTAACAGTATTTAACCCAATAAAAGTGCCTTGTAACTAGATGAAACACTGTATTCTTTGAGGGACAAATAATAAGAAAACTGGTCTGCACATAATCAGTAGGAATGTGTCTTCCAAATACTTCTGACCTGCAATCAGTTGAATGTAACTGTAAAACACACACACACACACACACACACACACACACACACACACACACTTTATAATATGCCAACAGGTACCATGTACTGAGTGTCCTGAGTGGTTGCAGCAGCCCCCAACTGTGTATATAAATCATCCCTAAGCCTCTGATTTTCTGTTTCACGGATTTAGGGCTCAAACCCAGGGCTGTGTGTGCCAGGCAAACATTCTTCGATTGAGCTGCAGCTCCATTAACCATGACTTTTAATCATGACAACCACTCAGTAAAACGAGTGAGCCTCTCCATCTTATACATGAGGACTTACAGTGCTTTGATATTTTCCTGGAAAACACAATAGCAGTTTTTAACAAATACGGCGGCTCTTAGCAGAGGTCTGTGTGGCATCTATTGCAGGCTGTGTTTCTGTTGATCCCACCTCAACAGGAGACTTACTCTGAAGTGGCACCACCACCTACCATGGACTTACTGGTTGGTTTCCTTACGGAGTCAGGGTCTTGTGACATAGCCTTGCCTGGCCTCGAACTGGCTCTGCAGACGAGCCTGGCCTCTAACTCACAGTCATCCTCCTGCCTCTGCCTCCTGGGTGCTGGGATTGAAGCAGCACAGGGTCTTACTGGCTGCACTTGTCAAAGCACTGGTCGGCAACAGATAGTCAATGCATTTTCCTTTTTTACATTCTTTAGCACATTTTTGGTGCCAGTGCCCACATACATTCTCCCGGCAGGCCTAGACAAAGCTGACGTCATGCTGCAGATGCCATAGTAAGTAGACCGTTGAGAAGCAAAGGATGTGCCGCTCAGGAGAAACCTTTGCCCTCTGTTTCCAAGCACCCAGACCTCGTGCTCCACTCTGTTTTCATAAATGCATTTAGAGGTCTGCTGTCAGCTTCAGGAACCAGCTCTGTGCGATCCATTTCTTCTAACAAAATTCCATACCATCCTGAAATACTGCTTTTCCTTTTGTGTTACTACTAAGTTACTGTAAGAGCAAATACTTATTATTTGGTAGGCAAACTGCTTCAAAATTCTGATGTTACCATGTTCAGATATATAATTTTATCTAAGAACTCTAGAATTTTACTCACCAGAAGGTATAAAACTTCACTATCAATTTATGTGAAAATAATTAGCACAATAATACTCAAGACCAGGCATACAGCCAAATAGAAACCAAGGCATAAATAAGCCAGATTACAAACCAGGGGGCTTAAAGAACTTATTCATATGGTCAGGTGTGGTGAGACATATCTTTAATCCCAGCACTCCAGAGGCAGAGAGGCAGGAAGTCTCTGAGATCAAGGCTACCTGGAAACCCTGCCTCAAAATAAATAAATATTTGTTCATGGCCTTGGGCGGGCACAGTCCATAGAGGTTGGAATACAAGCTTAACAACAACGCAGGCTAGAAAACTCAAAACATTAAAACTAAAAGCAAAAGGATTAAGGAGAAGGGTGTGTGCAAGCCCTGAGTTTCATAACTAAATGGGCGGCATTCCTTTTCATTTTAAAAACAGAAGCAGACACACACACACACATACAACTGGCCGTCTTTTACATTGAAAGCCCCACCGAGCTCTGAAACCCTTTATCCTACTCCATCTACACACACACACACACACACACTCTCTCTCTCTCTCTCTGTCTCTCTCTAATAAATGTGCACATACAATACAGAAACACACATAAGGTTCAGCTATAAATGTAGGAATATCAGTACAACAAAATAAATCCCACACCAGAAAAACATGCTCACCAAAATCAACCAAAATATAAAGAAAAGAAAAAGAAAAATATGCTCACTGAATCAGAAAAACAAGACATTCATCTTTGAGAGCACTGTATTTGTGTAGACAGACATTCATCTTTGAGAACATGTGTAGAACGTAACTGCTTTTTGAACTGGGGAGTGCAGCTCAGTGGTAGAGCTCTGTCTAACAGCGTGAGGCCCCGAGTTTGACTGGCAGCTTCACAGAACAAAGCTAAGGACAGCAACAACCCGGCACTCCCCAAGTGAGGTGGGCAAGCGTATCCAGCCAGCATCCCGGTGGGGAGCCTGCCCGAGTGCTGTGACGTGGAGGACTGAGACCACCTGGACCACAGTTGTCAAGATGGTGAAAAGTCCGCTTGAAAAGTTTCTAACTCACTAAACCAATCCCCCAAATTTATCCATGCTCACGCTCAGCCTGTATCACATGGCACCTCCGCCTAAGTGGGGCCACAGTAACAAATATGTCTGCAGCATGGTGAGGAAGGTGGGTACTGAGTCGGAGAAGGTGGACCGGGTGACGGGGCACAGAGTTTGCAGGGGAGAGGGCGCAGTGACAGACACAAAGCCACTAATGAACTAGAAGTGGTCTAGAGCTCAGAGGATGCTTCCCAAGCACAAAATTCCTACAAGCCCATGAAAAAAACAGAAGGGGTGAGGGCAGGAGTAGACTCTTGGAAGAAATTTTTTTAAGCGTAATAGAACTATGAAGAGGTGTTTAATGTCACTAAGAACAAAGGACTTTAAAGCAGCGTGATAAAATTTTACACCCATTTAACTAGCAAACAACTGTTTTAAGACCACAAAGCGCTATGGACTCACAGGCTCTGTTGCAGAATGGTGTTGGGGCTTTACGTGGATTTCCCCCGCTCTGAGAAATAGTTTGCCACTGTCACTTTAAATGCTTACATTCGTCTTCAATGCAGTGGTTATTTCCTTCAAAACGTGTAACCAAGAGCAATGCACATATGTTCACAGAGGGAAGTCCTTACAGGAAGAAAGGCATGGAAACAGCCAGCATGCCTCCATCGAGGACGGGTAAACTGTGACATGTGCACAGGATGGTGTGAGGTGTGGTTGTGAGACAGTCTCGCAGCAGTGTGGTCTGTACAGTAGACCAGTAAATACAAAGGCTCCCCCAAATTTCAGCAAAACAGCTTACAAAGCTTAAGGCAATTAAACAGATCTACCTAATTGTGTGTGTGTGTGTGTGTGTGTGTGTGTTGACTAATATGTATCATATATATTAGAAATGAATACAGTCAATTTAACTATGCAAAGGGGGGGTAAGGTTACTGGGAACCTTTCAAGTTAAGTGCTGAATATTAAAGTGACTATTATATCACTAAAGCAACACCTGGGGATTCCAGTTCTGGTCACTGTCAGGGTGGTTACATCGAGCAAACCAGATTCTGAATGAAAAAGTAAAAACAGCTTTGAAGAAAGTGAGGAGAGACCACAGCAGGCTGGGCTGGAGGAGAGGGAGATTCCTAAACTCCCTGCGGGCATACCCTATTCCACCCACCACCCCCAACTGCAGTAAGGACAGTGGGTGGGTCTGGAAATGAAGCTCAGTGCTGGAGGAGAGTGGGGGAGGCATGCAGAGGCGGGAGGGGGAGTGGAGGGTGAAGGCTGAGAGGGGCCCCAGGCTGATCCTCCTGACTTTGCCCCCAGGGCATCTGTGCCTGCCAGGTACAGTTTACAGAGGTAAAGAGCTACTCTGCCAAGAAGTCGCATGAGTAGAGATACTTTCACAACCTAATAATATGAAAGTTTCAAAACACACAAAGCAAGAACTGGCAGAATTAAGGAGGAACTACACAAATTTAGCTCATTCATGTTTAATGTGATTGCTGACAAGGATGGGCAAGTTTGAGAAGTCCTGTCAGATGCCCAGATGCAGAACATACATTCTTCTCAGTGTCTGCACGCTACAGTCACCTCCCTAAGGCACAGATGCATCAGTCTAACTTATTTTGTGTATCTACCTAACCTACTGACAAGAGCCTCAGGTCTATAGGGTAGGGGCTCATCTGGGATGTGAGTCCGGGATCTCTCACACACCAAGCAGGAATCATAAGCCTAAAGCAAGGAGCCAACATAAAAAGCACAGCTGCAAAACCACAACATACGCCCCAGTAAACTCCAAATGGGTTTTAGAGGACGGCTGGGGGCTCAGGAGGGACAGCTAGATGCTATAAAGGACATCCCTTAAAACGATGCCTTGCCCGTGAGCGGGCTATTTAAGACGCAGCCCAGTTTAGAGAGTATGTGTTGATAAAGCTGTGTTATTTTCCATGGCTCAGCTGAAGAATTTTTATAAATGGAAATGCTAAATAAAAATATTTTAGAAAGCTCTATTCTCTGGACAAATATTTTATGTCCTCAAAAAAATCCTTGGAGGAAGATCCCCCGAGCTCCCTCTGGTAACTAATTAGTATA